TAGTGTCGCTGCAGTCATACCCCGTCTCCTCCTTGACCTCCCGGGCGGCGCACACCACGTATGGCTCCGACTCATTGATCTTACCCTTAGGGAACCCCCAACTGTTGCCCCCAAACCCCTTCACTAGTAGCACGTACTGAAGGGTCGGGTCCAGTAGTATAGCGCCGCACGTGGGCACCAGTAGCTTATACTCCTTCCACTGGGCGATAATGGTGTCGATGTTAGGCAAGTGTGGTGTGAGGAACGGTATGTGAGTGAACATAATGTGACAAAAGCGGGTGAAGTTTGGTCGGGGGAGTAGGGGGTGCGGGGTTTTGCCGCATATAAGGTCCAAGTAGTGCCAGTGAGCCAGCTCAAGCTGGAAACACACCCGGATCAGGTCATCCCTGTCCCCCTTAGGGATGTTTATTATGAAACGCGTGGACAAGTCGTCCAGTATTTGCGTGGGTATTGTGTGGCCAGTGGTCGGAGTGCCGGTGATTGGCCTCACGTTCACACCATTGCCGCCGATACCACCGCCGGTGCTGTTGTTCTTGTGGTTAGACATGGAGTGCTGTGTTATCTCATTACCACAGATGACAGTCACCGTATAGTTGATCACAAATCCACAGTTTTAGTGATACTTGCAGTCAATTATAAAACTAATTTAAATTAAAGTTTTTGTGATTTAATTGATTTAATGTTTTGGTTGTTGTTGTGAAACAACACTCGTATTGACATCTAAATGGGTTTTGTGTTCATAATTAACGTAACGCTAAAAACTTGTAAAACTTGTGTTCAGTTGAACTTGATCAGATAACTTTACTATGATTTACTATAGTAAGAACGTGATTACCCTTTTACCACTCAACCCAGGTAAAATTAGTAGTAATTTTTGTATTACAATTAATTAATAAATTGTTTGTTTTAGTAAAAAGTTTTATTAGTTTACTTTTTACTATCATAGTTAGTGATACAGTTAATTATATTAAAATAATACTGTATGTAAATTGATATATGAGTAATGTAGAGGTTGTCAAGTAGAAATAATTAAAAGTTTGTATACATACCTTGATTTTCCCATTTAATATAAAAGTGTTTATGAATCATAACTTGTGATAACTTGTGAATAAATTGTGAAATAAAAACATTTATTACACAAACGTATGGCAACTCATAGATAAGCGTTGAATCGACGCCTAAATTATTAATTCAAACAAAACATAATTATTTGAAATTAAAATCACTTTACTATTGAGTGGTATTGAGGTTCAGAGGGTTAGCTATGAACCAAGAAGGACCCCGATTAACGTTCAAACAAAACATCAATGAGTATATCAAAGATGTTGAACTCAGCGACCAATTCGTTGCGTTATTGCGGACACACCCTTCCAGTGATGAACTGGATGATATTCTGGTAAGTCATCTAGTTCAATTAATCGTAATGTTATTCATATTGCAAATAAGCATACTTTTATACCATTATTAATTACCAATAATATTGTCCCTAATAATCAATAAATTACCATGCATAAAATAATAAACCCAACCCTTTACTACCCCTTCATTTGCCTACCGTTTCCAACCCCTAATCCAATCCATACTTTAATCACTAGTATAGAATTTGTATGAATTTAGGCCATAATTACTAAACAAATAATATCTTAAAACTATAGAAACAGAAGGAACTGGAGGTTCAGAAACGGCAGATATTCTTGCAGTTCACTCACGAGCGCCACGACTGCGACCTTCTGGCAAATATGCTGCAGGAGTCGGGTCAGGACAGGGCGGCCGACAAACTGCGCCAATACAACAAGTCTGAGGAGCCCTGGAGTTACACCAATGATATCAAGTTAAATGTGGTGAACGCCAAAACCCTACGTTCCGGTCACTCCACTTACTTCCGTATGGACTCCAAACCGAGGGGAAGGGCTGTCATATTCGTGACAATACCGGCGCTCAGGAATGAGACTCTCCGGTGGCAGTCATTACTCGAACAGATCTACTTTCGGGTGGAAATACATCCGGGGCTGACATGTGATGGCATTAACACCGTATTGAACGCTGTGGTCGATGACCGCAATGAAGGAGATTCACTGATAGTGATGTTCATAGGGCACGGACACGACGAGAAGGTGCTGGGGTCTGGTGAGGCACCGGGCGATGAGATGTCCGTTAAGACTATTGTCGACAAGTTTTCTGAGGATAAGTGTCCCTCACTTCGCAATAAACCCAAGATTTTTCTGTTTAATTGCTGTCGAAATAGTGAGTAGTTTTCGGGTACTATTTATGAGATAATATTTCAGATAATATCAGTTTATATAGTTTTATACACATATGAATTTTAATGTGTTATAACAAGGTGACTTAATTTTTAATTTATTATAATCATATAGAGTGGCCCGAACGCGAAGTGCCGGCTAAATACTTGGGTAATAGCAAGCTATTGGTGGTTAATTTGGAGTCCATTGACACCTCCTGGGTCAATGTGAATAAGCGCACCTATGTCATATACGCCTGTGCCGAGGGTACATTATTTATATGTTATTTGCATATTTAAAAATAGTTATCTAATTGACATAATCAAATGAATCTAGGTGTGAAAAGCTGGTACGATGAAGAATCAGGGCTAACTATATTTGGACAGGCATTCAGTCACACATTAGCGCAATACGCCTGGTATAAGCACCTGACCGAGCTCATTATGATGGTTAGTTTTTATTTGTATGCACAACAATGTAAATTAAATATAAATAATGAGTTTACAACCTGACCTAGACACATTCCCGGCTGGAAAGTGAGTTCATAAACTCGAAGTATGAGTTACGACCGGAGATTAAGATGAATTCCGTGGACAGACAGCTGTACCTCAATCCAGGCCTACCGCGAAGTTAATGAGTGTTTGATTGAAATGAGACAATCATTTGTCAAATTATGTTGACTGCCATATATAGTGCCATTTATTTAATTAATATTGCAAATAAACATTTGGTTTTAATTCTAACGTTGTATTTGGTTCATTAAGAAAATTAAATAAATATACAGTAATTATATTTAATTCATAGGTTTATATTAGTACAATATCAAATATAATTAAAAAAACATAGTGTACACTCTGTTTAATATGGTAATCAAATAATGTAAGTTTTGTTATAATACCGGTAATTGTTTTTCACAATCGCGTCAATAGTTATCACTAATTTGTTGCAAATAATAATTACTTGTATTTCTCTCTCTCTCTCTCTCTCTCTCTCTCTCTCTCTCTCTCATCAATTATTAATCTAATAATTGGAAATTATTTTCATAGCTTTATTTAAGACTGAAAGTTAAATGGTACTGGTATGCGATAATAAATATTAAAATAACTGCGCTTTAAAATATTGTCTGAGAAATTAGCAAAATTAGCATGTATGTACAATCAAAATTATTTGTCAAGAACACGCCTTTCCAGGCCTAAAAGGAGGCGTTGTGGTGAGTTAATGAAAATAGTGGGCAGTAGTCGTAGGGGACGGTCGGTGTGGACAGTCGTCACAAACTTATACCTCATTATGAGGTGAATGAGTGTAGTCTTGAGCTCCAGTAACACAAATCGCATAGCAATGCACTGACGGTCACCTAAACTTAACGGGAAGTACGTATTTGGCACCAGTTTATCCCGATTGTGAGGCATAAACCTGTAGGGATCGAAAATATTGGAGTTCCTATAATACTGTTCGTAGTGGTGTATCGCATATATTGGGATATCAACCGTATCCCCCTTACGGATGGTAATACCGGTGTCGCCTAACTTATAGTCGGTTACAGCCATACGTCTCATACGTATGGAAATGGTGTGCAGGCGTTGAGACTCATTGATGACGGCCTCGAGGAAAGGCATCTGAGATATGGACTCGAAGTCTATTTCCTTATCTCCAGTGCCGACACAGCCCTTCACTTCTTCGTATAGTCTTTGCTGATGATTGGGATGTAGGGCTAACTCATAGGCCAGGAATGCCAGGGCTG